GAAGGTATGAAGTGTTGGGTGTAGGGACAGGTTGGTCATATTCAGTAGTAATCATTTCCTGCTCTGGGTCTCAGTGGTCTTGCAAATTGTACAGGTGCATATGAAAACGGTTCATTTTCTGACATATATATTAGTGACCAAAAGAGATGCGTATTTCTTAAATTGGGTAATTGGACTTTGCTTGGCTGAGTGATTTAAAGCACACTGGACTTTATGGTTGTTTTCACCAGAAGCAGGGTACAGATTTGATAACTGCTGGAAGGTACATTTCCTTTATTAAGACTCTCATATGCACAGGCTGGTAGGTATAAATTTACATGCTTTTAAAAAGTTATATCTGCTCGAACATGTGTATCCACTAAATGTAATATTTAAAGTGTGTGTGTGTATATATATATATATATATATATATATATATATATATATATATATATATATATATATATAAGGTGGTAGGGATTATTCTAAGGAGTTTTTTTTTTCTAATATAAAAAAAGTTAAATCTATGATGAGAGCTCAAGGCATAAATTTATATACAGAGCAATATAAATAAGTGTGGGGAGTTTGGTGGCCCCAGCTCTGGAACTAAACCTGTATGATAGTGAGATATAGAGATAGATATTTATGGATTTTGGTATATACAGGCTTAACAGTTTAGTTCCAGAGCTGTGGCCACCTGTTTTAGAACTGGTGCCATACTGTCCTATGAATTCTCCACAGGTTTGAGTTTAGTTTTCTGTCTCCTCTACTGGTTGCCAGTTGAGGCAAGAAAACCTAACCTCTCCTGTTATTTAATCTATAGCTAGGTTGGGGAGAAGAGATGAGTCTCTACCTTCTTCTAAATGTATTTGTGTGAAAGTGAATGTAATCAAAATTGGGTGTGATTTGAACTCTGCTTGCTCATTTATTTCAGGGCTACTATTACTCTACTAGTACATCCATATTGGTTTTGCTGAGCTTAACATTTGGCTATGTAGAACGCCTTTACCAAAAATGGACTAACTTCATTGTTGACAGTATACTAAGCCTATTCACAGTAATGTTTATTCATGTACTAATTATTAATGACAATGTCCCAAGTTAATGTTTCCTAAGGATATGAGGCTAACAAATGCAAAAAGAAATATTTTATTGCTATGATAGGTCAGAGAAAGTAGTTGTTAGATGCTCAACATTATGCAGAGGTCAGTGTAGCAAGTTACATTGAATAGCCAAAATCTGAATTTCAGTCTTTAGACTTTTTGAAAAATTAATAGCTTTATTTGATTCACAATAAAGAATTAAAGTGGACAGTATTCAGCCCCCTCTTATAAAAAAAAAAAAAGAAATTGAATTGTGGTTTCTTTTAGCCTTTAACATACTGAAGGTGATTTTGCTTATAAAGTAAAAATTTTATCCTGCCACTTCAAGTAACTCAGATGAATGAATGATAGTTTGAATTTTGCAATTGTGTTGTCATATCCTGCTATGACAACAGAAAAATGATCATGACTAAAATTAATTAGTGCAGTAGAGGAGTTGTGAAAAACCATGCAGTGGAAAGGAAAGTAGTGAATAATGCAGAATGTTAAAGGTTTAAAAAAAAAAAAAATAAATAAATAAATAAACTCTAATTTAGTCAGGGGAGCTACATATTGTACAACAACTATTGACAGAGGAATTGACAATCCAAGCTCAAATTCCTGCCTAGTCTATGTTCCCTTTAACACAAATGCCTTTGGGAAAGTCATGAATCTTTCTCTTCTCCATCCCAGCTCTGGGTTAAATAGCAGTGTAGACTGGGCTCTTTAGCCTTGGGTGACAACCAGTCTAAAGAAAATCCTGAATTTGAAACTGTGGCAAAGGCATAAACATTCACAAATATTAAACACTGTGGAGAGCTAGAGTTCCCTGTAGTCCTGAAGGGACATAGTATAAAGAGGAAAGCTAATTGACTAAGGATGTGTGTAATCCTAAGAAATAAATTTGCTCCCCACCAAACCAACTTACACACCTGACTGATCAAAAGGCACACTGCTTTTCTCCACCTCTTTCCCTACTCTTGCGGACCTTGCAACCATGAGTTGCATAGTATATATTTTGGGGCTTCCTTGCATGACTGGACATGCTTACTTGGTGTCTGTAATTTAACAGGTGATGTTGGGACCAGTGCTTTATTATCCAGCAGGCTTTGCTCTTCCTCGTATTTTGCGTGTGTGAATGAGTTGGGAGGTGGGATAGCCTGACCCAAATCATTTAAGTTTTTGTAGCTCATCTAATAACTATGTTTGGTTCTTTAGATAGTTCTCTACAAACCAGGCTTCAGTTCCTCTGCAAAAAGAATTTGTTCCTCAAGCAGTGATTTTAACATCTTTCTGGGTTCTGATTTTTGCCAGTAAACCTTAAATAGAATTTTGTGCTTTTTTATATTTTCCTTGGTGGCTTTAATTTTATCTTATTTATTTTTTCACCTCCAAGCAAGGCAATAAAGCCACTTGGTTGCAAGATGGGGAAAGGGGGGGGGGGCAAATTCCTCTCTAGTTGAGTGTGAATGAATACAAACCCCCCCACAATATTATTCAGTTACAAGTACACTTTGTGTGTGACCCCCATACTGATAAACAAAATCGGGCTTTTGATACGATATAGACATTTAGGAAAGCATCTATTTAATGAACCGAATAAGAGTTAACAAAAGATCTATTTTGATAATAGCCTAAACTTTGAGCACCTGTTGAATAAGCTGGACAACTTTATTTTTATTTATTTATTTTTTTTTTTTTTTTTTTTTAAATCGCTTAGAGAAAGAGTGCGAGGCTGCTATCTGTTGCTAATGTGAGGAAACGGTCACTATCTTTAGTAAAACTACCAATCACTAGTCTCCAGATTACAGGGGATCGACAGCCAAACATGGCTGGTAATTATAGGTTTCTATGATCCTAGTTGAACCACTTTCTCACATGAAAGAACACGCACATACATATACACTTAGATTAGTGGTGAGCCCCTTTACTGTGACACATTGTTTATATACATCCATCCATATTGTTTCATCACATCGTATGTACAAGAAATTCAAATCCATTATGCTTTTGTTAAAATCCTCTTCCAAAGATTTTTCTTTTGAAACTATAATACAAATAACGACGGCTCCTGAACGCAATTCTTTCTCCAATGAAAAACCATTTAAAAAAAAAAATATAGGCTGATTTTACTTGAACTGGTGATCATGTCTTGATTGCTACAGTGGCAAAGTTTCAACTGTTGTGCTCTCTGGATTTCATCATATTCTGTCACATACTTGAAATTTTGAACTGAATTACCCCTAATTTACATTATTTATATTCAAACTTGGGGGCTGATAATGGGGATAAATAAAAATGTTTCCTTAGCATCTGACAACTAAATTCAGCACCAAGCCAGAGAATAAGCAACTCCAAAAAACTGGCACATCATAACCAGCTGTTTTGGGTAGTGGAGCTCAACAGGCCATGGAGACAGTTCCTATAGGGGAAATAAATCCTGATAGAAAACCATGAATGAAGCCCCTGGCAGCTCCTGCATCCAATCCAGACCCAAATATAATGCCTTGTATTCCTTTGAATTTTGTCTGTACAGTCGGGAAGGGGCCAAGTAGTCTAGGTAGCACACAGCCTCCATATACCATTGCCCAGGCGTGCACCCTGGAGATGTCATCTAAAGATGAGGACAATAGTCTGACTGTAAATAGTGTAAATAATAACTCATCTCAGAAATTCAGACTGAATTCCCCTTGAGTAGAGCATTCCCATGTCTCTGCTAAATTGATGTACCAGTTAATTCTTCCTGGTGATATTTGCTGTCCACTTTATCCTGAAGAAGACCAGTGCATAAATAACTGAAGCATTATGACAATAACAACCAAGATGAAGATACCACAGTGAATAAATTAGTGTAAAAATATATATTAACATATTAATGTATACTGCAAAATCTGTCACTAATTATAAGTTTCTATCTATAACTTATTAATGCCCAGCATCCCATTCTTGGGACAGTGGGTATTAGGGGTTTAATAGTATATTAGTACTGTATATCATACTGTATATAGTAGATTTGCACTAAACGTGAATATTATATTAGTATATTTATCTTGAAGGGAAAATTTGGATGGTGCAAAGTTGCAGGAACAGCAGTCGTTACCAATGTTTGGCCTTTATATTCAATGCATCCTGGTGAAACCTCACTAGGAATATTGCATCCAGAATCAAAATCCATGTTCATCTAAATGAGAAAAAAAGAATTGCATTTTAAGATACATCCAGCATGCCATTCTGTATCATCTGATACAATGTTAACGTATTATTTATTAAGCTTGTATAGTTTTCAGCTATTTGAGATGCAACAAAGTGCTGTACAATTAAAAATGGATCCCATCTTACTAGCTCAAGGGGATACCGATATATTACTAATATATTTGCCTTGACCATAAATATGCAGTTGTGCTTATCTCTAAAATCTAACATGCTGAGGCAGTTTCAGAATTGGATTTACTCAATTTAATCTGAGTTAGCATCATTTATTTGAGTAATCATGAACATGCTTTCCTCCCCTGTGTTTGTAATATCAGGCAAGATCTCTGCATGCATGTGCATAACACAAAATCTTGGTGTTCTAGAATTGCTCTGAATTGGCACATCTGATTTAGTCAAAAAAAAAAAAAAAAGCACTTCTATGCTAGGAGTAAAAACTTTGTGCCCAATTTAATTCCTCATTTCAAAAATCATTCATCACTCAAAATAATAGATAAATTTGTTTTATTCTAAATTCTGATCCAATAAGACCATCAGGTAAAAATATCTACGAGGAATGAAAATGCTCCCAAACTCCATTTTGTGCTGTTGTTTTAATTCTGACTTCATTGTCTTTAATTGCATTACATCATAGTTTTTAATTACTTTTTTTTATTTATTTTATTTTTTATTTTTTTAAGTGTCTTTTCTAAAATTTGGTTTGTTGTATTTTCCATTTTTCTTCTGCAGGGATTTACAAGCAAATGGGATATTGGAATTAAGAAAAGATGATTTCAAAGGACTTGACAATTTGGAGAAATTGTAAGTAACTTTTTTTTTTTTTTTTTTTTTTTTTTTTTTTTTTGAAAGAACTATTTCTAGTGTTTGGCAACAAAATAAAACCAACAAATCTCTTATAAAGAATAACAAATTTTTTCCAGTTGTTCTTGCCTTAAACCTAAACAAATTTATATGCCACCCCCCCCCCGCCCAATTACACCTTTGTTAATATTACTCTTTTTTTTTTTTTTTTTTTTTTTTTCTAAACCTTTTCAATTACTACTATTACTAACATCCTCTGATAAGTCATTTCTGCAAGGATTAAGGTAGGTACACCCATTCTGGGGGCGGGGTTCAGCTATTTAAAGTTAGCTTCAGTACTAAAGCAGCAGCAGCTCTGTTGCAATGAATAGAAATTAGATGGTTTGTAGAAAGGAGAATGCTGGAAGCTGGTTATGGATGAATTATCTTTTTGTTTCTGACACGGTAACACGTCTTATACGGAGATATTATAATTCCATTTCTTTTTCTCTTCCGATTGATTCCCCTTTCCAACCCTTCTCAAACCCCAAAGATGACACAGGCATGTATATATGTTTACCTGTCACTTGCCACCCTCTGTCTCTTTTTCTTTCCCCTGCACCCCGTCTTTAACAGAGTTTGGGTTGGATGGGGCGGCCATTTCTTTGGAGAGAATGGCAGTGTTGTTGTGCCGAGGGCTGGCACAGATTGCTATCTCCTATCTTGTCAGTTGTAAGATTTCATTCTCATTAAAGTTAAGACAACATTGATCTATTAGCCATGAGAAGTGTGAAAACACATGCACATAAAGATCTTTGTGTGCAGATGGGAGCAGACAGAGGGTGTGGTGGGTGGAACTTTAATTATGGTTGGAAAGAATCGGGAAGACACAACTATGTATGAGTTAAAGGAGTTTTTTGTTTTTTTGTTTTTAAGGAAACCTTATGCCAAGCAGATAGACAATGGGCATTTGTAAAATGTATTGGAGACTTTAAAATCTGGGAGCAACCACATTTCACAATAAATCTGAATTTTTTTTTTTTTTTTTTTTTTTTATATATTTCAAAATTTAAAACTGAAATTTAAAAATTTCACGAAGAGTATATAATAAAAAAAAATATTCAAGTTAGTCATGTTTGAAATTTTATTTATTTATTTTTTATATTTTTTAACTAGATTTTATGATTTTAATGTAAATGTATTGTGAATAAAAAAAAAAAAAATCAATTGGTAATTTCTAATGGGAATCTGAAGTTGTTTACAATGTCAGGAGAAAACCTTTTTCAACTGGGAGAATAGTTGCAAAAGAGGAATTTGGGCAAGGTGGGGGAGTTATGATGTCTGGGTGGAGGGTATATGTAAGGGCACAAGGCTGGATGGGAAGATGTTTCTAGATAGGAAAGAAGCATCTCAAAGACAAACAACATTCAGTAGACCAAAACAAAAGCTTTTCCCCATCTTGACAAGGACATTAAATCCTTGAGAAACTGTTTTCCGGCATTTTTTTATTATTATTACATTGTGTTTTTGCTTACATAGTGAGTCCTGGTTGGTTTAATTAATTTTTCATTCTGTATCCCACCTCATTTCTACACCTCATCTCATGTTTCCTTTAACTGATATGTATTTTTCCCCCCCCACTCCATCCTATCATCTCCTTTTGTGGGAGGATGCACTAGAGGTTTTTTTTTTTCTTCTTCCCTATATATATATATATAAGAAAAAAAAATTGGGTGACACTTTTGTAAGGTAGGAAGATATTTCAGAATTTTACCTTTTGCAGGAAAAAAAAAACAAAAAAAACACTGTGTTATATATTAGTGTCAAGGATTCACTAGCACTGTCAAACTGATGATCCCAACTGGGGAAATTGTTTCACGTGATAAAAAAAGATGATTTATAGTGGATCCTGTTGCTTTCAAGACAATACGGATTCCTGAGCTAAAACAAAGAGAGCAGTCAGAAAATGTCTTCCACAAGCCTCTATTTGTCCTCACCAGTCATCAATGTAGCCCTTCTGACAGACCATTAATCAACTCTGCAGCATTCTTTGATTTTAAAAAAAAAAAAAAAAAAAAAATCTGATATGGGAGAGGTGTGCAAAAAAAAAAAAAAAACACTATAAAAGTCAAGATTGCTTAACAAGGCATCCTGAAGGTGCACCAACTAGTCCTGAGTAAGATGCTTATCTATGGACATAGCAAATAAGATGTAAGTAATTTGCTAATTTCAAAGATTACTGCCAGTCTCTATAACATTATATTGAAAAGTTTTAAGGTAGAAATAACTATTGTGAACATTATTATTGAGTAGACATTGTTGTTGTTTTTTTTAAACAGTGAGTTAATCCACTAGCCTGTACATTCAAGAGATGGAAATGTGCTCTCTGACAAGGTATGAACCTGCATTCTTCTTTGTAGGGGAAGCCAGTGTTTAATACGGTGTGCTTTAGATCTTTTAATCACACTGTCATAGCCCACCAAACATGAGAAATCCACAGAATAATGTTTGCTTGTGTAGAAAATAGCTTTAAAAAAAAAATCCATTGAATACCTGTGTGTGTGTGTGTGTGTGTGTATATATATATATATATATATATATATATATATATATATATATATATATATATATACACACACACTAAACTTTCTCCTATTTAGTGTTAAATAGGGATGGATCACTGAGGGATGAAATGTTTGGTTTGATAGTTGATTATTATTTGATTATTGATCTATACAATACATATCCATGTTTATGTCATTTGTCAAATGCCTGCCTCCTGACTTACCATCTTTAAACTACATGGACAAGAAGAAAATTGCAAATGGGAAGAGAAAAAAAAATGCTAACCGATAACTAACAAAAAAAAAAAAAAATTCAGATTGGAATAATTTTGCCAGTTTTACAAAGTCTACCTAATTTGAATACAAAATTTTTGTTTTTATTCCTTGACATGATTCCATACTAAAATGTCTAATTTTTTATATATATATATATATATATATATATATATATATATATATATATATATATATATATAATAAAAAAATAATCACAATTTTTTTTTTTTTTATTACTAATAGCAAAATAAAAATAATGTATGAAGCCATGAGAGGAGATGAAAAATGGCTTCCCTATGAGATTGGAATCTAATTAGATGTGGCAATTCTAGACTAACCTTTACTAATTCTTTGCAAACTTGGAAAGACAAGCTGCAAAGTCTTTACCTTAGAAGACAGTCATTCAAAAAGAAAAACATAAATAAATTTAGTCCAAGAATACTGGACCAAGAAGAATTCTATAAAAAGCTTATGCATAATTTTTTTTTTTTTTTTTTTTTTTTTTTTTTAATTTGCTAGCTTGCTTATGTCTGTTCAAACTAAAGAAAAGGCACTTTGCATGTTGTTTTTTTTTTTTTTTTTTTCTATTTCACTAGAATACTAATATCTATATTTTTCATAAAACCTTTAAGAAAAAAAAATATCTGCAGACATTTCTCCCAAATTAGTGTGAGATTTAATTTCACTTTTATATTTTGGCTTAAAACTTGTATAGCCTTGTCCAGAAGGACTTGTACTCCACTCTGCTGCCTCTTTTCCAGAAACGTAACAGTGCAATTCTATTGCTATTTCCATATCAAATGTTCAGATGTGCTCCATTCTTTCATTCTACCAGTTCGGACCTTTACTGCTAGGATATACCATACTATGTCTACAAATTCCCCTTTCTTCCATATTCCAAATGTAAAGAGAAAGTTCCACTCAGACAGCTTCTTACACCCCCCCCCACCAAACTACTTTGTGGAACAGTTCTGCATGGATGCTTCCCAAAACACTATAATCTTAACCTCCTTAAGGGTCAATTCTTATCTATCCTCTTAAACTTCACTTCTTACCACCTCCTTTCACAGTCTTTTTAACTCTCTACCTTGAGTAGCTTTGTATTACATGAACTTTAGTATAAAAACACAATTAGGTTGAAGGAATATTGCCTCACTTTTTTAAGCTCTGAAACCTTGTAATGATTAATCATGTGAAAAGAAAACACTGGCAGTTAAATTCTATGAACTACTATATACTTAGCTACTTCAAGGCCCAGTAGATTGGTATCAGTTTTGTGCTGTAAAAGTACAAATTGACACTAATTTGTGTTCTGTATTGTATGCTCTAGTTTAAGTGTGCCATCTTCAAACCATATAGGTAACACCAACCAAAGTGAAGGTTTTAAGTTCTCTGCACCAATACTTTCAGAAGAGACTTTTATGTTTATAAAATCCATAAACTCCTTTTCTACTTTTTCCACTTAGACTTCAGTTTTCTGAAAAACTTCAAGCTTTATAGCTCATAGGAAAGTTGTTCATCAAATTCCCTACAAAACCCGATCTTGTGTCCAATTTGGTTTTCTCAAAGTCAAAGCTCAGACCTTGGCATAAAGCCAGACTAATAATTAAAAAAAAAAATAATAATAATAATAATAATTTGTACAGAAAATATTTATTTTCTAACAAAATCTCCTCCTTGCTAATGCACTTAATTCAATAAATGTTAATCATAGATCAAAATTCAGTTTAATGACTACATGTCAGGCTACAGACTTATTGATCAACTATTGTATCCCTCTGCCTTTTCAGTCCTCTGTTGGGGTATGCAAGTTTAAATTTGATTATTAAAGTTGATATTCTTGATTTTTGGTTTCAATCAACTTAAAGAGGAATTGGCTGAATATTGCCTGACAAGTTGACTGTTTCCATTGAGATCCTCTGCAGAATGGAATTTGGTCAGTTTCATTGTCACTCAATTGGAAATGTTTTCCATATGGATTTAAAGTAAAGCCCCAGACTATTTTCAGGCATGAGTGTTAATTAGTGATCAAGACAATACTTCTCACCCATTACTGACTATTGTGGAATTTTTTTTATTTTATTTATTTTTATTTATTTTTTTTGAAATTCTTTACTTTGACTGAGTTACTCAAAACTTTTATTTTTGTTGTTATTGCAATAACATGTTAGTTTTGAGACT